CAGTGTGAGACTCCTGAGACTCTACATTCCTGTAACTGACCAGTCTGGTGTGGTCAGACCCTGGCGAACCACCAGCACCAACCCCCGTGTACCATCCGAGACAGAAAGCGTGAGCGTGGCGGGCGGTGAGACCTGCCTTGAGCTCCACGTGGGCTTTGACTGGCACTGATTGTCCTTGATACACATTTTCACACTGATGAGCTCCATCTCTGAGAGGTCGACACCCTTCAACTCGCCCTCCTGAATAGTAAATGACTACAGGCATAGAAACTGAGACACATCAATTTTAAAATGTGTCTGAGCATATATAATGTTTGCAAATTTGTTCCTCCTGCTCACTTCTCCTTACGCTGTTAATCCTGTTTCCCCCTTGATATTTTTAATGAGTCATATGATTAATAAGGTATTAATGTGAGGCAAAATATTCGGGAGTTTTGCAGTTTCCGGCTAAAAGCTTTGGATGAAATAATGCTGACAAAATGGGTTCAGACTCTAAGAGCACTTTATTAACATAAATGACTAATTTAAAGCAGGCTAGAAACAGCTAACGTGAAATTGTAACCAAGAAAAAAATCCCAGAATACACCTAATAATATATTATGTAAAAGGAAATATGTCCTAAATTCCTTAGGGGAAATAGGGGGATCCTCAAATCCTTGAAAAGCACTGGAAGTAACCAAAAAAAAGTGTAACTATGTCATGGGTGAAAATATATATATATATATATTTTACCCATATCTCCTTTGGGCCCTTGAGCCAGGAACACCCGATAAATGGATAACCATGTGCTTGGACCCAAAGTTTCTTATGCAAGTAAAGCATCTAAAAAAAAAATAAAAATCATTATTTTCTTTCACTGCCTGCCATCGCGTGCCGTGAACAAGGAGCAGAAAGACACGCTGAGTGGCTACATGATTAGTACTAGGTAGGAGACCATTTTGCTTCCAGAAGCCACGTCGGTGCCCAGTGAGCTGCATGAGCAGAGATGCCTTTCCGCTACTGTACTGAGCTGTTTTTGCACCTCTGGCCTTCCTGTTAGCTCTAACAAGTCGGGCTTTACCCCTCTGACCTCTCTCATTAACCAGGTGTTCCCAGCCACGGGACTGCTGCTGACCGGAAGCTTATTTGTTACAGACACTAGTGTGTGAAAATCCTGAGATGGATGCTGTTGCTGTTTTTGGGACCTGGGCAGCACCACGTCTGGCACCAGCAATCATGATACCTTCAAAACCACTTAGATCACAAATCACCGCCATCCTAATGTTCAGCTGAGCAGTAACTGAGCCGCTTGATACTGTCTGCATACTTGATGTATTCAGAGGTTCAAATTCAAATGATTTGTTGTTTGCATTAATAAAGTGACCACTGAGTGCAGGGCTATTCTGAAAAGCATAATGCCCATTTTCTTAAGATTTGCTAGAAAATAAGAAAAAAAAACTCTGATACCCTTCAGTCAAAACATTACAGGTACATGAAAATTTAATTTGATAATGCTGTGTTTTGCTTTTCATAATTTAAGACGTCAAAATCTATATGGAAAAGACAAATGTAAAAGTAAAGTAACGATTCAATTATTGGTTAGGTTAAGCTAATTAGGAACTCGTCTGGAGACCAGCATACCCGTGGGGGCATGATAACCAGGATTAGGAAGTTCTCGATTAGACCACTGAATCTCATGTGGATGTAACATTTAATGGGCTTTTCAGGGCACAAAAAGGCACTCAGGCATTTCAGTAGGCTAATGTACTGGCACAAAAACTCCATTACCGCATGATTAGACGGCACAAACTGGAATGCCAAAACACCATGCTTAAAAAAACCTCTAAATTTGAATATTACACACAACGTATATAATTATACAAAACATTTACAAAAGGGTGTTTTAAGTTTATACTGCAACAAAGAGTGTGATTATCATCCCAATTAACAATTAAGGCTTTGTAAATAATAATTTTCAAAAAAAAATTTACTGCGCAGTCCTGATGATAAAACAGGAAGATTCACTTCATTTTGAAAAGAATCTTAAATTATAACACAGCAGCAGCAAAATGCTGTTATGCATTAGCCCTAAAACGCACTTTAGCTCTGATAGAAGACCCAGGACGGCTTGTTCTGTGGTGTAATGGTTCGCACTCTGGTCAGTAATCTGAGTTCAAATCTCTGTAGAACCTTTACTCTCCAGTCTCCAGACCCCCTCCCTCTTCGGCTCAATAAAGTTCATCGTATCTTAGAAAGCTGACAAACATGTGCTATACAAAAGCATACTGGAGCAGGCTTTCACTCCACCATCATTCTGAAACATTACAGCCTCAATTTCTAGCCCTTACACCATGGGATTGCAAGTAATGAGATTGTCCTCACTGTTAAAAGGTGAACCAGGGAGGGGCTCCCGAGAGCAGCCGGGCGTGAACCGCCGAGTCGACACCTCGGCCCCGACCACCCAAAGAACCCGCAGAGAGTCCCAAGGGTGATTTCTTGGTCGGCTTTGTTTTTCCACTGTCACGTTAGCTGTGTGGAAACGATTTGCCGGTTTCTGATGATCTCACTCTTTGGGGGCGGGGTGTTTCCCTCCCTTCAGCCTGCGATTGATATTTCGTTTCCCCACGTGGTCAGTCCAGCTAGCCCCCGCTCCTGGAGCCCCTCATACCCAAGGGCCCCGCTGTCTGGCAGCCATCCAGAGACTGCAGGTGCTCTGCAGCCACCAGACGCCTTCAGCATAACAAAGCCATGTGGCCGCAGCCTCAGGTAATAGCAAACGCAACTGAGGACTGGAGAGTTCTTCCATTTAGGTCTAACCAGCAGCTGTTAAACCTTCATTCAATTCTGTATTTTAATTATGGATTTGAAACTCTCATTTGACTTGATATGCAGGTAAAAAAATATCCTGCTCCTTAATGTTAAGGAAAATGATTAAATATGTATTACAATCTTTTTTAAAGGGTTTAATTTTAATTTATTTACCAGTCAGTTTTTTGTCTGTAGTATAATTTACATTATTCTGTTGATCATTTAAAAGGAATAAAATGATACATGGAACAGCCAGTCTGGCAGATACAGGCCCAGCATAAATGATTTTACACCCCAAAAGATTTATCAGAAAACCGTCCATTTCTCTTTAGAATAAATACTTTCTATGGGATCCTATACCATAAAATATTCCAGAAAATCTGGTTTATTGGCTGCAAATGAGATTTGTCACTACAAAAAACGAAACTTTTTTAATTATTTAAGACCACGGTGCAAAGATGAGTTAATCCCAATGAAGGTCATATAAATAAAACTTGATAAAAAGCTAATTTACAAGAATCCAACAACTGATGAGTCTATTTAATCATCACACAGGTGGCCGTCAGATGACTGAAAATTATGGGTGGTATTTAACAAATAAAATCCCCTCCCATTCAATGCTAATGGAACCACATGCAAGAGAAATGTCACAAGACTTGAGAAGGGAAGCATTTTTTACACAACAAAGGTCAAGGCTACAAGAAAATTAGTAAAGCGAATCAGCCAGAATACAGCAAGCGAATGCGATTCAAAAACTCAAAAACGATGGACTTCTGGTAAAGTTCTCTCAGACCTCCAGGCCATCCATGGAAGTCAACACCTCAACATGACGGTTTTGTAATGAGAAGAGTTGAGGAAAATTGCCATGCAAGTTCATCACAGTTAGCTAAAGCAGTAGAAAGCCTGACGGGGGGGGGGGGTGACTGTTACCCGTGGCACAGTGTGGCATATGCTGCAGGAGGGTGGCACGCAAGGGTTTCGCCCACGAAGGAGACCAATGCCAAAGCCAAGGTGATGAAATCAAGACAAATCTTTTCGGAACGGATGGCGGCCAAATTGCATGGCGTCACAAGGGCAAGGAGCACAAAGAAAAATGCAAGGTACCCCCAGTAAAGCCTGTGGGGGTGTATGAACACTGCAAGTGTCGGGGAATTGCAGTTCACTGGTGACATCATGAATTCACAGGTCTACTGAAAGAGGAGATGGTGCCATCTCTGCATGCCCTGGGTCGCCAGGCACTCCTTCAACATGACAGTGACCCAAAACTTACATCCAAGGCCACTGCTTCATTTCTGAGGATGGACAGGATCAAAGTGATGGCAGTAGCATGTCACCCAACGCCAACCCAACAGAACACCTACATGGAGTTCTGAAAAGACATTCTGAGTATCAATCTCTCCATCCAGCATCCAGGCTCTGAGCTCCCAAGAATGGAGAAAGACAGACAGTATGTTGCTAACGTTCAAAATAAATAAGCTCATTCCATGTCTGGAAGAGTTGGTGCTGTTCTTAAAAATCATGGAGGCCATACAAAATATCCAATTTGGTGGACTTTGTTTCAGGGTGTATATTCATTTTTGAAACACGTCATTTGAATAAAATTATTTTTTCATCCAGAAATGAAACCAGGTTATCGACATACCTGGGCTTTCTGTAAGCGATGTGGAACAGTCCAGACTCTCTGTGACAGGTGACAAACTTGGAGCACAGCTGTAAATGTGAAAGTGAAAAAGAGCAAAAGTCTCACCTTCCAGAACCTTCCTGTTCTGCTGGGTACATTCTGCTGTGCTCAGAGTTGGATTTGCAAGTAAACAGGAAGGCGAGCATTTGACTTAATTAAGGACCATCCACTCCTTAATTGCACTCGTTATCTTTTCCTTGGCTCAAGACCTGAAAATGATGCGTCAGGAAAGCTTCAAATCTAAAATCTCAATGCAAAATCACCAGGGTGAAAAAAAGTGGTTTCATATATGTAGAAACAGAGATGTATTAACTTCTCATTTGACATGAAGGAAACCACAGTATAGCAGTATAGAAACAGGATTTCATAACATTTTTGTGACCGTCATCAAATTGTGTGAGGTCACCCAACTGCAGCAAAATTTAAGTGACCTTATACCCGTGTCTATCAAGGTTCTTTACGAAAGGTACACAGCTATATACTGTTTATGTTATATACTCAAAGCCTGCAATAGAATGAATTCAAGCAGCACAAAAAAACATTAAATATATATGTGACAAATAGCTAGAAATAATTAAATAAATAAATGAACAAACAAGCAAACAGATGCAAGCTGACAAAGGTTTATAGCTTAAAAATCCATCTGAATTGGTGTGTTTTTAAAAAGAAAGACTGGGAGCATCCAAAGAGAGAGAACAGCCTTGATGTTCCTGGGAATCACTAGAGGAGCAGATTCAGGAGAATGCAGGAGGCGAGAATGGGAAAGAATAAAGCAATAAAGGAGGTTTAATGGAGCGATTATGGCAATAAGCCTGTTGTAATTATCGGGCAAAATGCTAATGCTGTTAGCATCAGGGCGTCAGCGGGTCCAGCCAAAGGAGATTCACTTTAGCGTTGTCATCATCGTCGTCGGAAACCAGACCAGATTGGATCAAGAAAAAAAAGGATTGCAATTTTCGAGAATGAGAACGTGAGAATTGCTTCAACAGAGGGAAAATGGGAGGCGTGTTGTCACAAAGTCGGGAGGAACGGCTGATCTGAGAGGATGAACTTCATCAAAGTACGAGTCTGAGCAGCTTCTCCCGGCTAACAAGCTGCTGGAGACTGATGACAAAAAAACTGATGCTGAAGAAAACTGGCGTGACGACTAACACGAGTCTAAGAAATCCAGGCCGCCTCCGTAATAAGGAACACCCAGCTTACCTATTTCATAGATAGATAGATAGATAGATAGATAGACAGATAGATAGATAGATAGATAGATAGATAGATAGATAGATAGATAGATAGATGCTTTATTGTCATCGTAAGTACAATGCCATTTAGTTTGGAACACGCCAGCAGATGCACAGTATATTTACAGTTAAATAGGTTCGAGGCATAAACAGAATGGGAGACTATGTACAATACAAATGATACGCATTTTGGTCATCACATTAATTAATAATCATCATAAACATCATCCCTTTCTTATAGGATTTGAAATAGTAGAAAATTGATTTTTTTAATAATACGTCACAGCTAGGTATAATTCTAATAAGTAAAATAGGGAAGGGATGACATTTCCATTGTAAGAAAGGTTCACTATTTTGTAACAGTTTTGTTTTGGGGTCTATCTTTCACTGTACTTGCTATTATTTTACAGTTTTTAAGCCTCACCAGCAAGTCCACATTCATCTTTCATTTCCCCAGCTGCAGGTGTGACTCCGCTACTCAGTCACCAAGCTCTTATTTCTGTTAGAAGGTAGAGAAAAACAGACGAGATGTGGGATGGCCGATGTGGATGAACGTCAGCCAGACAGAGCCTGGGTGGTTTCAGTTAGAGCCCAATCACCCTAGAAGTTAAAGGCATTAATACTCCCAGCACACCACTCATCTGCTCCATCCAAAAGCACACAAACCCAGAAGGACTTGCATTGCTTCTACTGCCAATAGATACCACTAGAGTTACTGGCCATCCGAGAGCACAGAGCTAAAAGACCGTCTCTCATTACACCATCTTAATGGGTTACCTGGTTTCTAGATCCATGGCTTTCATCCTGGGGCTAGTCACATGACCTGCGATGGGGGAGGCTCAGCTAGAAGCAGCAGCCATCCACTCTGTGGCTGATCTGGCCCTGGTATGCACATGGGTGGGGGGTAGACCTGTAGAAGTCTGTCTGAAGGACATTAAACCCGCATCAGAAGCTTATTCAGAGTCGGCACTGATAGCTCAGTTAATTAGGAGTCAGGACAGGCTGTCATAGCTCAGAGGGCTGGGGAGGGATAGGGGGGGTTGTCTTTTCCATCCTCACTCTCTGGAGGATAAACTGAATTCCAGTCATCAAAAGCCCTGAACCTTACTTGCAGACACAGAGGAAAACAGCACACATGCTGAATCAGTGCCTTCAAAATATTAACCATAGTGTAGAAACAGGTAAGTAATATTAATACTGAATAAAATCACTCTCACCAGGCAAATGGGGGTGCCCCATTACCTATAGGGGATCCACTTTCTATATTCGCTTGTCCTACACAGGGTCGTGGGGGTCCAGACCCTCTGGGCACAAGGCAGGGAACAACCAAGAATGGGGCACCAACCTATCACAGGGCACACACACACACACACACACACACACCTGCAGACAATCTGGCAACTTCACTCATGTTTTTAGACTGTGCAATAAAATCGGAGGAAACCTCACAATGACACGGGGAGAACATGCAAATGCCACACATGGAGACTCAAACCCTGGTCTCCAGATGTGTGAGGCGACTGTGCTAACCACGCTGCCTCCGCCATTATCAACAGTGAATTAAACATATTAAATTATTAAGTATTCATATTCATCAAGGTACATCAACAACAATTCGAAATAGCAAACATCTCATGAAAAATGGCACTGGGCGGCTTGACAGGTCATTTCACTGCCTCTGCGTTCTGAAGGCCCTGATCCTTGTCTGTCTGCCTCTTGACACATGAACGCGTCATGCCTTCCCACGTTGCTCCATTAGCCCGCAGGAGTCAGCCTCCGCTTGGGCCTCTTCTGCTGCCTCAGCAGTTTCTCTTTCGCCATCAATCCTTTGCTGGTTTTGAATGATTAATTGCTACATATACTAACCGACACACACAATTTGTTTCAAACTTTGTATCACTCATAACCCCTGTGAATTTGGGGAGGAGGGGGGGGGTCATACAATCAATATTGCAAGTCTCAGTTTCTTTCTTCTTCTTTGGTCCATCCTATAGCCTGATGCAATGTGGTGAGACACGGCCTCAACGCAATGCCGATTAGACCTGCCTCGCTCCAACGGCGTGACTAAGACGTCCAGAATAAAATTAGTCAGCTTAAAAAAAAAATGAACGGAAGCTTCGAGAATTCAGGTGCACGCTGGGTGAGCATAACATCTTTGAAATTCCAAAAACTCCTCAAGTGCATCTAAATTTACATTTATTTAGCAGATTTTTTCCAAAGTGGCATTGAGCTGAGGACACAGGGTTAGCCAGCCCCTGGAGCAACTGGGGTGAAGGGCCTCACACAGGGGCCCTAACGCACAGGGGCCCTAACACACAGGGGCCCTAACACACAGGGGCCCTAACGCACAGGGCCCTAATGCACAGGGGCCCTAACACACAGAGCCACGCACAGGGGCCCTAACACACAGGGCCCTAACGCACAGGGGCCCTAACGCACAGGGGCCCTAACGCACAGGGGCCCTAACACACAGAGCCACGCACACCATAGCTTACTAGATTATATTTATATTTACTTTATAAAAGATGAATGAAAGCAAATTTACAAATCCAGCTTATAAAACACCAGCGGATGCGTTTACCACCACTCACATGACACATTTGCATGGGAGCCCCTGCAGGTCACAAGCAGGCACTACACTAAATATGAAATAAATTCCTGTCTTATTTAAGAGATGCTGAAACAGTATGTTCTGCTAACAGCCAGCCAGATGTCATCTTCAGACTCTACTTGCTATTTATTTATTTCGTTTTTGAAGTGGGTCAGGGGCCCTGAACTGGCTTTTTCAGTGGGAGCCCAGGATCAAAAACTCACCCCTGCTAGAAACTTTTTTAAAATTAAGAATTATTTGTGTGCATCCTGCCCGAATTACTACAGCATTGCTTCGTTGTTGTTTGGTACTAGCATTTAGGAGTACTGTAAGAGCACTACCTAGCTGGACTGGGTTAATAATCGTAAACGCCACAGTAACAGCGCTAAGCAATACTGTTCAAGATGTAGTCATTTTAAGCAGACCTACAGTACTGTGCAACAGTCTTAGTTAGTCAAAGACAATATCTACAGCTATTTATTTTGGCAGTAAACTTGATCAGAAAAACTATTTAACTTTAAAACATATGTAAATTCACAGTAACATAATAAAAATTTACAAGAAATTCTTCCGTTCCCCAAAAAGTTACTGATATCTAGTTGGATGGCTAGATGAACGCCGCTTCAGTTCCCAAACCTCTCCTCAGGGGCACCCCAGCCATTCCATGTATTCATTAAATCGCACCACCAGCTCAAGGAATTAATTAATTGAATTAGTTAAATAACTTAATGAGATATTGATTATCCAAATATGGTGTGCTAGTGCTCGAGTCAATACTGCAAATCCTGGGCTGACTTTAAGAAAGGTTTTGGAACGGCTATAAGCCACAGGACCTCGACAGAAAGAAAATCATAGTTCTACATCAACGCAAA